CTAAATCCTACTATTCCTGCAAGTAGCATCTATCAAGGAAGTATCTAAGCCCAGATGAAAAGTTTTCTATTTCTTTTGTGTTTTAGGAACTTTGAGGCCTTATCTGTCACCTGATCCTTTATTGCTCAAGACATAGTATAGGTAATTAAGTAATGAGCCAGTATTATTCTTACACAACTAGTTGTGACATCTCTCCCATCAAGAACCTGGGGGGTGGCGAGGGGTGGGAGCTAGAATAATTGCTCTTTCTAGCCTATTCCATTTTGTTTTTTTTTTTTGGGACCAGGACTTGAATTTAGTATCTGATGCTTTTGCTCATTGGCTGGCACTCTACCATATGAACCATGCCTCCAACCATAGCTCCTGGGGGCTTGCTTTCTACCTACGGAAAACTTACCCATTCTTCAAAGAACAAACTTTGTAAGCAGAACTGATTCTTAAACACCTGTGGATATCATTTATTTGGGTGCAGTTTTAAGTATGTTGGAATAAGAGCCACCTTGGATATAAGAGCTTAGAGGACCGAGTGCCTGCACTTGACTTTCTGCCAGGCAATTTGTAACTTTTGGCCCTAATGATAACAATGGTTGCATTTACTTACTGGTACATTTATAAAATGTGAATTCAAAGTTCAAAGTTTACACATCCATGATTCCTTGTCCACTGACAAAACTGGGAGAAGACGATTATCTAACTCACATGCCAGTGGGGTGTGTGGGCACAGGTAATATTTCTATTGGCTCTGCCATCAGCCCCACCTTCTATCCCAGCCATAAATGGCAGCAGCCTCAGCTCTGCAGCCAGCACAACCCAGGGCTGAAAGGAAAAGTCAGAGGAGAGAATTACTGGATGAGAGTGACCATGGACTTGATCCCAAACTTTTCCATAGAAACCTGGATCCTCCTGGCTACCAGCTTGGTGCTCCTTTATCTGTGAGTAATTAATTGTCTGAACTCTGCTTCTCCTACCACCCCATAACCTAGGATTCAGGGTGAGGATTATTATGGTCTGTTGATTGGGAATATCTAAAAGAAAAACAAATGGGACAATTGCTCAAGAGTCAGATTTAACACCTTACGGGATTATCCTGTAGAGATCCCAGGAGAGAGTTAAGAAATATTTCTCTTTCATGGAACTCTTCAATCTGTCTCTGTCTCTCTGTCTCTGTCTCTCTGTCTCTGTCTCTCTCTCTCTCTGTGTGCTAGTGCCATTGCTTGGAAATGATCTCTGAGTTGATTTTTGGGTCTGAATTAAAGACTCAAATTCAGCAGAAGCAGAATATGAACTGATCACCCTTGCAGCGACCTCAAGATACTTGGGGTGGAAGGTCTCTATTGTTTGTTTTGGTGCTGGACTTGGGCTTTACCACATGTCCTATGCATTGTCCCAGGACTTTTTTTTACTTAAGGTTCTCACTCTACCACTTGAGCCACAGGTCCACTTCTGGATATTTTTGGTGGCTAATTGGAGAGTAGAGTCTCACAGCCAGGTGCTGGTGGCTCACGCTTGAAATCCTAGCTACTCCAGAGGCTGAGATCCGAGGATCATGGTTCAAAGCCAGCCTGGACAGGAAGGGTTGTGAGCCTTACCTCCAATTAACGACTATAAAACTGGAAGAGGTACTGTGGCTCAAAGCATCAGCCTTGAGCAGAAAGAGCTCAGGGACAGTACCCAGTCTCTTAGTTCAAGACCTACCCCTGAGTTCAGGCCCCACAACCATACACTCACTCATACACACACACACACACACACACACACACACACACAGAGAAATGTGTGTTACAGACTTTCCTGCCCAGGTTACCTTCAAACCACAATCCTCAGATCTCAGCCTCCTTATAGCTAGGATTACAGACATGTACCATGAGGCTCCCGTTTCTCTCTCTCACTCTCTCTCTCTGTCTCTCTCTCTCTCTCTCTGTCTCACTCTCTCAACACACACACACACACATACAAAACTTACCTCATCAGCACATTGTTTTAATTCATCGATTGTTTAAATTTACTTTTATTTCTGAATGAACATACATTGGTAATACAGGCGTTTTTATTATGATAATTTCATACATGGGTGCAATAAACTTTGAACACATTCACTTCCTCTATTCTATCCTCCCTTCTCTCCTCCTTCCATCTTTTCAAACAGTGTTTACTGCACCCATTGTGTTATCTTTATACATACACATACACAAAATCTAGCATGTGTAACACATGTACCATCTTTTAATACTCATCAGTCTTTGGTATCCTTTCTTTCCCTCTCTCCCCATTCAACCCATCCCCCCAGACATTCCTCCTTTTAATTATATCCTGTTCTTATTGCTGTCATCTTCATTTTCCTCCTCCTCCTCCTCATCACTACCATCATCATCACCTTCATCATCATAATGATCATTTCAGAGATGAGCGATAGCATGTAATGTTTGGCTTTTGGAACATGACATATCTCACATCAATAAGATGTTTTCCAGTTCTATTTTCCTGCAAATGACATTATTTACACAGTAATATTCCAAAACTAGGTTATTGACTTCTATCAACTATCCACTGAAGGTTGAAGAGCCTAAAGACTCCAGCTACCTTTAGCTCATTTTTGTGACTTTTGGGGTTCTCTCAGAGGCCGTAAGAAAGGAACTGTAGAACATGGGTAATCATTGCTGTTTGAGTTTCTGGTTTTTATTATTTCCGACGTGTTACTATCCCAGTTTGACTGCCCTACTTCTTGAGTTAGTAACTGGCAACTTTCCATATGTGTACAGGGTGTGTGTGTGTGTGTGTGTGTGTGTGTGTGTGTGTTTGTGTGTTTGTGTGTGTGTGACCTGGATTTCTTCTAATATTTATAGATATGGGACCTATCCACATAGAGTTTTTAAAAAGTTGGGAATTCCTGGCCCGAAACCTCTGCCCTTTGTTGGAACTATTCTTGGTTATCGTAAGGTGAGTGTTGTTTGAGCTCTACATTTTGCTTTTCTGGTTGCAAAGACTGGCTTCCTTCCATCTATAGAAAGTGTTGTTGGTGGAGAGGAAATGCTGACTTTCAGAAGCTGTGTGCGCGCTCCCCCTAAAGTATGGCCAGGTGTACTGCAGGGCTCTGTGTTGAGCTCTTCAGAGCATCCAAGGGGCATCAGTGGATCCACGCAGATTTTCAGCATCTTGGCACTCATGTTGAGAACTTGAAAGTTAGACTTGGTGAGCACCAAGGATTTTTCCCTACCAGAGCTAATTCCAGGAAGAGTCATTCTCAGCTCTAGGGACTTTTATTTGCACAGTTAAAATACCACAATTGAGTACCTCATCAGAAGTTTTCTTTTTCCTTTTCCTTTTTTTTTTGCTACCTTCAGAATCAAACCTCAGAGGAAGTGTTCTAATTATGGTGCCCTATGGGTAGAGATGGCATCACTCTTATGTTTTCATATTGAGCAAATTCACTTTGCCTTCACTTGCACTCTGACTTCTGCCAGAGTCTTACATTAATTTCCTATGCCAGAAGAGGTGACTTGAACATCCCACCTCCAGGAACTTCGTTTGGTAAACAAAAAACAAGTTGCATGAGGAGATAAAAGATAAAAGATTGGACATGTCTGCTGGGTACTGTGCTTAAATATATCATCTTAGTTCCTAGACAGCCAATGACCTGGGAATTGCAGTTTGAAGCCAGCCCAGGCTCTCCCTCCTCCCCGGGAATGCTTGGATGAAAGCCACTTCAAAGTGACATACTGGATATACAAACTTGTTCTAGAACGTGATCAAGGGGAATGTATTTGGATGAGGTCTTAAACTTGTAACATTTACCTTTATTTCTCTTCCCAGGGCATTGTAGTTTATGATGTAGAATGTTATAAAAAATATGGAAAACTTTGGGGGTAAGTATTCTGGAAACTTCCTTGGGGTAGATTGGTGAAGATGAGATAATCCATTCTGTTGGGACTCTATCAGCCCAGGGTGTATTGAGCCTCACTGATGAATTATGAATTCTGTGGAGGCTTTTCCTTATGAAGATCTCACCTGTCACTATTTGTGTATGTACATGTTGTGACAGTCCTGGAGCTTGAATTAGGGCCTGGTCACTGTCCCTGAACTTTTTCCGCTCAAAGCTAGCACTTGTCCACTTGAGCCACAGCTGCACTTCTGGCTTTTTGGTAGTTATTTGGAGATAAGAGTCTGGTAGAGTTCTTCTCAGATTGGCTTCAAACCATGATCCACAGATCTCAGCCTCCTGAGTAACCAGTATTACAGGAGTAAGCCACCGGTGCCAGATATGTTTAATGTTTTTAACATATTAAAAGCCATGGTGACTGGCATGGATAAAACTCATGTATGCACTGCCAAATGTCCCAATGATCATGAGCCCTTGGAAGATCTGTTTTGTCTTTAGGTGTCTCCTCTGTACCTCAGTACATTAGCCTTCATTCTGTGGACCCCTGTGGCATCTGTTTTCAAAATCCCTAGCTTGAACAAGGATCTATTATTGGCATATATTGAGGAGCTTGGAGTATGATCACGGTCTGGATTTCTTTGTTCTGGCTCAAGGTGCAGAGCCTGGCAGGTTAGGTTTTTCACACAGCTGTGTTTGGTACACACACAGGTTGTACGATGGTCGGCAGCCCTTGCTGGCGATTACAGATCCAGATATGATCAAAACAGTGCTGGTGAAAGAATGCTACTCTACCTTCACAAACCGCCGGGTAGGCATCCATTAAAAAACACATTGTAATATTTATTTACCAACAAAATAGACATTTATCCCTTTTTATTATGAAAGAAGTATAAACTCTGGGGAAATGAGGGAGTGGGGAAGAACATTGAAATCAAAATGTTGGATTGAACCCTTTCTGTTTAGAAGATAAGTATAAGGAAGACAATAGATAAGTGTCAATAGAGAAGTGTCTAAAATATGAAATCCTGAAATCACATGAGGTAGCTGGGTGCCTCAAAAGGAACTAAGCATTTGGGCTGAATATCTGTTGAGTTTCTTAGAGAGGGCACACTGCTCACTTAGACAGCAAAAAGTTCTTTTTTTTTTTTTGGTCCGGTCATGGGGCCTGAACTCTGGGCCTGGGTGCTGTCTCTCAGCTCTTCAGCTCAAGGCTAGCGCTCTACCACCTGAGCCACAGTGCCACTTCTGGCTTTTTTTCTTTTTGCTTATGTGGTGCTGAGGAATCGAACCCAGGGCCTCCGGTATGCAAAGCAAGCCCTCTACCACTGAGCCACCTTCCCAGCCCACAAAAAGTTCTTTAAATGCTGACAATTCACCAATTTTATACAGCTGTGCAAGATCTTCAATAGAAAAATAGCAAAAATCTGTTTTTCTTTGGAGTCTAGGCTTTTGGACCAACGGGATTTATGAAAAATGCTGTCTCCATCTCTGAGGGTGAGGACTGGAAGAGAATAAGAACATTGCTTTCCCCCACCTTCACCAGTGGGAAACTGAAGGAGGTAATCAAACCTGAGAACGTGGTGCTGGAAAATTACAGAATGAATCAGGGGACAGGCAGACAGCCAGACAGTCAGACCAAAAAATGGTGTGTTGTCTTTATGGCCTAGAATTCCATGGTTTCTCATAAATGTGATGTATTTTTCATCTTTTTTTTGGGGAGAGGGGCTGTCATGGCCGCTGGGATGTAAGTCTTCTCTTTTAACTGCTCTTGTTTTGTGCCTAGATGTTCCCCATCATTCGTGAGTTTTCTGATGGGTTGGTGAAAAACCTGAGACCACAAGCAGAGAAAGGCAAACCTGTAGCATTGAAAGAGTGAGTACTTGCTGGACACTGGTAGCCCACACCTGTAATCCTAGCTGCTTAGGTGACTGAGATCTGAAGGTTGTGGTTTAATGCCAGCCCAGGCAGAAAAGTCTGTGAAACTCTATCTCCAATAAACTACCCTCAGGAAAGATGGAAATGGAGCTGTGGCTCAAGGGGTAGAGTGCTAGGCTTGAGTAAAAGAAGCTCAGAGATAGCCCAGGCTCAGTGTTCAAGCCCCAGGACCTACAAAAACAGACATAAAGAGAGAGAAAGAGAGAGGGAGGGAGGGAGGGTGAGAGAGAGAGGGAGAGAGAGAGAGAGAAAGAGAGAGAGAGAGAGAGAGAGAGAGAGAGAGGATTACTATCACTCCATTCTTGGCTTGCCAAGCCCCAGTCTATTACCTATTACAATCCATCACTATATACTATAAGCTATTATTGTCCACATAGCATTTGTACTGCTGTATTTGTCTGGTGGGGGTGGAGGTATCTCTGTTTTCTGAGACTGAGTTCGTTGAGCTCCCAGGTAAGTCTGACCCACCCAGTTTTCCTTGTAAACCCTCGCACCAGGGTTGTGGCCCTTGGTAAAGACTTTGGGGGTGGAGTTCTGGATCCTTGGGATGACCTCTCAAGCAGTTCTGACAGAGAACAGCTTCCAATTCTCTTGTCTTACAGGAATTCACCCCTACTTTTTGCTGCCTGTGTAGCAAAAATGAAAGAGGGGGGAAAAGAAATACAAGTTTTAATTGTCCGGTGTCTTTCTCTTCTTCAGCATCTTCGGAGCCTACAGCTTAGACGTGATTACAGGGACATCATTTGGGGTGAACATCGATTCCCTCAACAACCCACAGGACGTATTTGTGGAAAAAGTCAAGAGGCTCCTAAAATTTAGTTTGTTTGATCCAGTGTTGTTCTCAGTAGGTTCGTGGATCTCTCTCTCCCTCTCTGTCTCTCTCTTTCTCTGTCTTTCTCCCTTCCTTGTGAAAAAATAGTTCATTGAGATATAGTTCATTTATACACATAAGTATCTCACAAACTTGTATAACTCAATGATTTTTTCACTACATTTAAAGATATGTGTAGACATTACCCCTGTTAATTGTAGAACATTTTGTCATCAGATGCCCTGTACTGGGCTAGGAATATGGCTCAGTGGTTGCTAGTATGCATGAAGCCCTGGGTTCAATTCTTCATTACCACATAAATAGAAAAAGCTGAAAGTAGTGCTGTGGCTCAAGTGGTAGAGTGCTAGCCTTGAGCAAAGGAAGCTCTGGGACAGTGCCAAGGCCCAGAATTCAAACCCCAGGACTGGCATAAAAGAAACCCTGTAGCTGTTGTCTGCTAGTTGCTGACACCTATAATCCTAGCTATTTTGGAGTCTGAGATCTGAGAATCGTGGTTTGAAGCCTGTCCAGGGCAGGAAAATCTGAATCTCTAATTTCCAATTTGGAGCTATGACAAAAGTGGTAGGGTACCTGCTTTGAGACAGAAAACCCCCACAAGATTGAAGAGAGTATTTAGACTACTATTGACTAAAGAAAGAGAGAGAGAGAAAGAGAAAAGGAAGGAAGAAAGGAAAGAAGGAAGAAACTCTGTACCTTTTATCTGTTTTTTACTTCTCTCAGGCCTAGATGATCACTTAACTATTTTCTCACTGTCTCTTATGGACACTTTCTATAAATGTGTCTGGCTTCTGTATCATGCTTTCAAGTTTCATCATCTTGAAGCATGTATTACTACCTTATTTCTTTTTATGGCTGAATAATATTCCATGGTGTAGACAGCACATTTGTATTTTCACCATGTATTTATTTCTTCTTGCTTTCTCCTTTAGCACTCTTTCCATTCCTTACACCTGTTTATGAGGCATTAAATATCAGCATGTTTCCAAAGGATGTTATAAATTTCCTAAGAACTTCTGTAGAAAGGATGAAAGAAAGTCGCCTCAAGGACAAAGCAAAGGTAAAAACTGCTGATGGTTACTTAAGGCTGTTCATGGTTCAAAAGTTATTTGGCTCTAGAAGTATGTTTTATGTAACTTTCTGTTTTCTAAAGTTATATGCAAAACCCTAGATTGAGATAAATAATTTTCAGATTGGAAGGGAGAATGAAGAGTGTAGTGGTTGGGAATGAAGGTATAAAATATACCAGAAAAAAGAATTAAGTTATAAATGCTAGCTATCAGTGGCTCATGCCTGTAATCCTTGCTACTCAGGAGGCTGAGATCAAATTTGAGGATCATGGTGTGAAGCCAGCCTGGGCAAGGAAGTCAAGGAGACTCTTCTCTCCAATTAGCCAGAAGTGGCTCACATGTTATAGTGCCAGCCTTGAGCAAACAAGTAGAGGGACAGAAACTAGGTTCTGAGTTCAAGTCCTAGTACACCACACACACACACACACACACACACACACACACACACACACACACACACACACACACACACACACACACACAGATATTTCATTTCCAAACTTCACATTGGCTATTTCAGGCCATCTATTGTAGTGTGTCTAATTTGAATTTCAGCCCCTGAAGGCCTGTATGAATACTGATTCATACAACTTAGATGTCAGAACAAGGATGTCTGTAGGGAAGAAAGACATTACTGGGTTCCTCCAGGTGTCACTGAAAAATTTCTAGCATTCCAGAATTGTGACGTGTTTCCAGATCCTTGAATCTGTGGGACTACCCATTAGGAAGTATGTCCACAGAACAAAAGACTGAAGTCCTGTTGTTGTTTGTGAGTAAACAGAAGTGATGGGAGTAGAAGCCAGATCCTACCTGGGCCAAGAGTCTGCACTCAGAAGTCAGAGAATGTCAGAGCTGGAGAGAGCAAAGACCAAAATCTGTTGATCAGGATAGCTGGCTTTCTTTTAGGAAAAGATCCTGGTCACTCCATAATATATAAATGGATATTCTCATTCACTGGTGACTCAGGCAATCTTGGAAAGATTTGTGTCCAGGCATCGGTAGCTCATGCCTGTACCTTGCAAATCAGGAGGCTGAGTCAGATCTGAGGATCGTAGTTCAAAGCAGCCTGGACAGGAAAGGCTGTAAGACTTATTTCCAATTAACCACCAGAAAAGTGGAGGTGATACTGTGGTAGAGTGGCAGCCTTGAACAGAAAAGCTCAGGGACAGCACCCAAGCCCTGAGTTCAAGCTCCATTACTGACAAAAAGAAAGAAAAAAAAGAAAAAAGAAAGATGTTTGGAGTTACATGGGGTATATTCACAGAGGGAGGCTAAGCTCTGCTCTTCTGATTAACTTCTCATTTCATGGATTACCTTCTGTCTTTGAAATCTATCTGTCTTCTTTCCAGCACCGAGTGGATTTATTGCAGCTGATGATTAACTCCCAGAATTCCAAAGACATGGAGTCCCAAAAAGGTAAGAGGGAGTCCTTTGGGTCTATTCACAAGGGAAATCTGAAGTCAGTTTTCCACATAGAGGTATATTTCTGCAGAATTTCACAAAGGCCCCCACTCTGCTCTTTTATATGGCAGCCAAAGGGAATCTCATGCTCAGTACCATGACCTTACATATTAGTACATTTACAGCCAGACTCCAGTGGCTCATGCCTGTCATCCTAGCTACTCAAGAAGGGAAGATCTGGTAATCATGGTTCAAAGCTAGTCCAGGTAGCCAACTTCACGATACACTGATCTCCAATAAACCACCAAAAGGCCACCAGTGGAATTGTGACTCAAGTGGTTGAGTGCCTTGTGCTAAAAGGCTCAGGGGACAGAGCTCAGGCTCTGAGTTAAGTCCCCAAATATCACACACACACACACACACACACACACACACACACGCGGGCACACACAAATTACTCTCTTCGTATCATCATTTATTTTGATATTCAACTTCTCTCATGTTTGTTCACTGAAAACCCTTTCATGTGGTCTCATGTGGTCTCCATATTTTTAAGTAGCTGGTATTTTAGAGAAATTGTAGCTTCATAGACAAATGAGGTAAATGCAGAAAGGTTTCCCATATACTCTTGTACCTACATATGAATAACCTCTTAACTTCCTATTATAGTGATTTCTATTTTTGTCCACTCCTGTGGCTTGAACTCAGGGCCTGGGCACAATCCTTTAGATTTTTTGCTCAAGACTGACATTCAACCACTTGAATCATACTTCCACTTCTGGCATTTTGGTGGTTAATTAGAGATGAGAATCTAGGTTGGGTTTAAACTTCAATCCTCAACTCTTAACCTTCTGAGTAGCAAGGATTAGAGGAATGTGCCACTTGAACCTGGCAACCTATTGATTTCTCCACCCTTAGATCCTATGGTTCCCTTAGATCCTTCGAATACGTTTCAATGAAAAAGATTCCTCCATGTTCTTTTCTTTCTATTGTTATTAAGACATACTACTTGTACAAAGGAGTTTTGTCTTGCTGTTTCCATATGTGTATGCAATGTCCCCCAATCAGACAGATGGGGTCACACTGCTCTGGTGGCACCTGTTAGATAGAATATGGTCTCTTAAATAACCCAGCTCTAAGTGGCACAAATGGAGAACACAGACAAAATGGGCAATGGTAGTGCAGCCCTTTGGGAAACTGGATTGAACTTAGTTAGTCTCTTTAGCTCTTGTCACATGTGGTGTCTAGGTGACATTACCTTGCTTTTCTATGTCTTATCCTTAGGTATTAGTGGTCTTATAAACCATGATTGTGGCATTGTGTACTGACTTCATTGACAAAAAATGTGGGGCTGGGAAGGTGGCTCAGTGGTAGAGCACTTGCCTTGCATGCCTGAGGCCCTGTGTTCGATTCCTCAGCACCACATAAGAAAAAAGCCGGAAGTGGCGCTGTGGTTCAAGTGGTAGCATGCTAGCCTTGAGCTGAAGCGCTGAGGGGCAGCGCCCAGGCCCAGAATTCAGGCCCCACGACCAAAAAAAAAAAATTAATTAAAAAAATAAAATAAAAAAATAAAATAAAATGTATGTTTCTTTTCCTTTAGGTCTCTCTGACCTGGAGCTAGCAGCCCAATCAATTATCTTTATTTTTGCTGGCTATGAGACCACCAGCCTTACTCTTTCTTTTACTATGTATCTATTGGCCCTTCACCCTGATGTCCAAAAGAAGCTGCAAGAGGAAGTTGACAGGACTTTACCCAATAAGGTGAGGGCAAGGCACCTGGGGAGGGCGGGAACTGATGAGGCATTACAAGAATGTCTCCTTATCACTTCTGGTGAGGAATTCTGTACAAGGTTGTGTTTGGGAAGAATTTGGAGGGAAAAATGAAAGGGGGTGAGGGAAATAAAGGTATTCGGTGCTACTCAAAGACATATAAGATCTTTTTAAATGCGAATATTTCCAATTGAATCCCTGATTTGTCATTAAAATAACATGGCCAAGTTAGGCACTGTTGGCTTGAACCTGTAATACTAGCTACTTAGGAAGTTGAAGTGTGAGGATCATGGTTCAAGGTCAGGCAGGCCCAAAAAGTAAAGGAGACTCTTATCTCCAATTAACCACAACTGTGTCTCAAGTGAGTGAAAGATGCGCAGGCCCAGTGTCCATGCACACAGTTTAGCACCAGGACTACTTCCCCCCCTTAAACCTCCTACCCAAATAAGGCAAAAATCTCAGTGGCACAGAAGTATAAGCACATATGAACTAAATATTCAGGTGCTGATAGGTGCTAGATGTGCTGTGCCAAAGCCAGGATGGACAGGATGACTCAAGATCCAGTCTCCTTTGTGTATATATTCCACATTTTCTTGATCCATTCATCTACTGAGCGGCATCTGGGTTGGTTCCATATCTTAGCTGTGGTAAATAATGCTGCAATGGACATAGTTGTGCTGGTAGCTTTAGTGTGGTCTTGTTTGTGAACATTTGGGTAAATGCCCAAAAGTGGGATTGCTGGGTCAAAGGGGAACTCTATGTGGAGTCTTTTGAAGAACCTCCATACTACTTTCCAAAGTTCTTGAACAAGTTTACACCCACCCACCCACAATGCAGTAGGGTTCCCTTCTGTCCACATCCCCCTCCAGCATCTGTTGTTATTAGAGTTCTTGATTATAGCCATTCTAACTGGAGTGAGGTGATATCTCAGTGTTGTTTTGATTTGCATTTCTTTTTTT